AGTATTGTGTGCTAAAGAGCTTTGTTTCTGTCATTCTTAAGTCATATTCTCATTTTAGATACAAATAATAGTTAAAATATAGTGCTTTTAGTAGTGGCTTTGCGAGCATAGAGAAGTTGAGGATAGCTTTCATAGAGGACTTCACTAATATGTTAAGATCTATAAGGATAGCAATTGTTCTAGGTTGTCATGTTCATTAATTTTGTCTGAATCGTAAGCATGTTCTATTGGTAAAGTCTTTGATCATGCTTATATATATATATATGCCTACAAAATATACATAATAGGAAGTACGTACTCGTATAGCCCTTGTGAGTATTGTCCCAATTTATTTGTATATTACATGTGTTCACAGTAGAAATTGAAGTAGGAACAAATTTGAGCCGATTTTTTTTGCATTGCTCCGTATGTCATTGTTATGATAGTCCTTAAGAGAATACAGAAGTCGGCCTCCTCTGTTTGCTTTGACAGTGAATATTTAGAATAAGAATAATATGAAAACTAATGTGTTTAAGAACTTCACATGAAATAAACAAACGTACATTATTTGTGAAAAAAAAACCATACAATGATACATATAAATGCATTAAACATTATCCGCCGTCCACTAAATGTCTCAAAACTCTGCTATTTATATATTCTAAGTTAAATCATATAGGACATTCATACAAAGGGCGGTTACATATTTAAATGACTAATTAACTCCTTTAGGTCTTCCTACATTAAAGATATTTGTTCTCACGCCACAACTGTTTGTTTTTATTTGTTTTAGACTTATAATTTTTTAACTTATAATAATAATATTAATGATATGAACAATCCTAAACATATTCCATAATACTATGATATTAAATAGATATATTCCTCGATAGATTTGCACTATTATGTTAAAGTAACAATAGTGGTTTTCTAAAGAAAAGTTAGAAATTATCCATTTCACTGAAAATAAATAATTTAGTAAGAACGAAAAGTAAAAAGAGATAAAAGGGAGAGAAAAGAAAAAGGAACTTACTTGGTGAGAGAGTAGAGAAAACTTAGGTTGAGATTGAAATGAGGATTGAGGTAAGGATATATTTATTTGTGTTAAAAAGTAACTTTTAGAGAAATCATATCAAACTTGTGTGTGGTTTCTGAAAAATCATATCACGTGGACACATTACTATTTATAATTTTGCATTATTTTTTATGTCCACGTGGGCAAATATATATGTTTAAAATACGGTATTAAATAGTCTATGGAGGTAATAGGTCCTCATGAAAGTTTAGTTATTTTTTTAAGGTTTAAAGCAAAGGGTTCTCTCCCTTTTTTTAAATTTTAAAAAATGCCTAGAGTGTGGATTGAACTCCGTACATAAAAACACAACTGTAATTAGGAACATTGAGCACCCACATATGATCAGTTGATCACTGCACCAATTCAATACTTATTACTTGAATGCTCACTAGTTAATTTAATATCATTTTCTGAAATTTCTATATAAATAAATGTACATAATTTTATATGAGATTAATAGATGTTCGAGCACCTAAAAGACTCAACATGGGTCCGCCCCTATCTACTAACTCCACCTTTGTGTCATTTTTTATGAAGGCTAATGACTTCAAACTAGTGATGAAAGAAATTAATAATATCTTACCTCTTTCTTAAGCCAACAAATTGAAATAATATGTATAACTTACATAAATCCCATAGTGTAAAGAGTAAATTATATCATAGCCCTATTTTATTTTTTCTAGTTACAATAATCCTTTAACTTTTGTCGAAATTTTGGGTAAGCGAGGTGAGTTATGAAGGATAAAAAAGTGATGGAATTGTTGTTGGACAAACAATATCCTTTTGAATCTTTAAGTTCATCGAATATCCTTTCAATTTTGATTCAAGATTATCAAAATTTTGAGATTCAAGATTCTTTTTTCTCCCAGTTCAGCAAAGATCCTTTCAATTTTGATCAAAATTGTTGAAAAATTTGAGATTCAAAATTCTTCTTCTAGTTTATTGAAGATCCTTTCAATTTTGATTCTGTCGAAAAAATTGAGAAGATACATCATGAATATCTTTGTTACTTAGCATTTTACTATTTATGTATCTTATTTAAATTGATAAGTATTGTATTTATACTAGATACATTAAATAAATAATTGTTGCCCATAAGATATTAGATTTGAGATCGATACACTACTGTGTGGTAGTTGCTATGTAATTGATACATTTAACATAAATTTGAAGTTACGTATCATATCTAAAAAATGAGTGCATGATACATTACTATATATGTATCTCGTCTAAATTGATAAGTATTGTATTTATACTAGATACATTAAATAAGTAATTGTTGCCCATAAGATGTTAGATTTGATATCAATACATTACCGTGTGGTAGTTGCTATGTAATTGATACATTTAGTATAAATTCGAATTTACGTATCATATCTAAAAAAATAGTGCATGATACATTACTATTTATGTATCTCGTTTAATTGATAAGTATTGTATTGTTTGCCTTGAGAGATATGTATAACTTACATAATGTATCATTTTGTAGTTGATAATAATGTATCTGATACAATAAGGTTGTGAAAGAAGGATGTATGTAACTGAAATAAAGTGTATCTATAAATGCATCACAATAAATAAGAATTAAGTTATCAATTAGATACATGAACAAACACAATCCATTACAGAAGTTTGATTATGAAAAACATCAGAAAAAAGAGAAAAATATTAGACTGTATGAAATTTTGGTGAAATTGAAACTAATATTATTATGAGACAATGGGAAGATTAAATAATAATACAAAAATCCTAATCAGTTTCAATGAACGATTAGTTGTTAGAGTCTATAACCAACTCAAATTATGGAAAATTTACAAATATTATATTAATTATTACCAAATAATAACTACTACTACTACTACTTCTTTTTTTTTTCTTCTAATTTACGTTTTAGTGTTGAAAATTTGAAGTTCACTTATTTTATTATAAATTTTGGAGTATTTTTAAAGATAGGTAAAAGACTCATAAATATCCATTTTAAACTTTTTTATCTAAAAATATCCTTAACCTACAAAAAAGAGACTTGATTTTGAATTTCAAACGTGAATGAGAAAATAACTACCAAGATTCTACGACTAAAAATAAGGAGAGATTTGTGGAGTGAAATAAGGAAGGGATAAATATTGGTAATCTTGTTTTCAACTGGCCCATTTGAATCCCATTATTCGGCCCACGTATTATGTAATATTAGGCCGAATAATTTCCCATAGCGGATTTTACCATGGCTAATAATAACGGAAAATTATATGAAATAACAAACTATTAATTTAAATTAAATATTATAGCCATAGTTTGTTTTATTTGTAATTCGCAACAAGCATTCCATGTTTTTTGCCATCTGGTGGGACCCATTCAGAGGTATATTAGTATATATGAATTCCCTTTATACAATTTTGTTTATATAAAATTACTATTTTTTAGTTTGTTTATACAAATTCAATTTGTTGTTTGTATATTTTCCACAGTTATACATAACAAGACATGTTTGTATAATCTCTTTACGTATATATGTAGTAATTTTGTTTATATACAATTATTATGTTTTAGTTCGTATACAAATCAATATACAGATTACCGAAATACACAGATCAAGACATGACCGATTTTTATGCATAAGTATATCAAAATATACAAATACAATTTTTTTATGTATATGTATACCGAAATATACAGATTAATAGCCATAGCAAACATAAAGTTTGCTATGGAGTGCAATTATGCAAACTATAACTATAACATACAAATATGATTTTTATGTTTGCTAAACCTAAAATTTACTCTAATAATAATTGAAAATAAGTCACAGCTTCATAATTAATTGATATTTAGCTATTTTTTTTCATGAGAAAATAATACTTAGACAAATATACACCTAACTTGAGGAAAATAGAAGCGACTCACTAAAATATTATCTTAGATAATATTTTTGTGTGAAAAAAGGGCTAAATTTTGTTTAACGAGATATAGATATGTGGTAATAATTTTTTGCGAAATGTGGGTAGATCCATTCATAATTCCTCTGAGGTGGATTAAGGGAAAATGGAGCTTCCTTACCTGACTTCAATTCTCCATTTTGAAATAGCTTAGAATATGTAAGGAAGGAATGGTAAATTTGCATGTTGTACTTAGAATAATATGCCAAACCATTGTTAAATAACAATGTATCTTTTTCTTATTTCGTGAAGAACATTAGCTTTGATAAAAAAAAATATCTAAACTCGTCACCTAATGATCTGGATCGGGAAGGTGTTTGTGATGAAGTATTTTGTAGCTGACTCGTTAAGTCCAAAGATAATACAAGATTCATAAACATCAATAACGAAAATATTCAAAAACTGGATTTGAAGATGTCTTAATCATTTTTTACCATTATATCAGAAGAAATACATACAAAAATTTCAAACTAATTAAGATATACCATATCTAGTAATTAACTCGACACATTACCTACAAACAATTATTGAGTTAAAATATTACACCACTGCAGATTTTTAAAATTTTATCTGATTTATTATCTGAACATAGTATTAAAAAGTTGATTTGTTTTTATATTATATTACTAAAAACCAAAGGAATTTTAGTAAGTAAATCATAATTGATGTTGAAGCTTTGAAATGTGAGTTACATAAATAGACTAGTTTTTTTTTTTTTTTGGGTAAAAAAATAGTAGAATTTGGAATATAATTGAAGCAAGTAAACAACATATTGACCCAAATAAAACTATTTATCTTAGTGATATTATTAAATATAAAAACTTGTCCAAATATTCATAAAAACCATTTTTATTTTATACGGCGCCTAAACTTTCCGGTTGCCGCCATTTGTTGACGGAATCCTTATACAGCATCAGCCAAACAGAGCCTAATAAAACTTGCCCATTATTAAAATCACACGTGTGACATTAGGGCTTATAACTGAGAAAAAAATTATTCCTGTTTGGCTTATATTCATTACTCATAAAACACAAAAACACCAAAAAAAATAGTTTACAAAAGACAGACAGATCGCAAAAGCCATTCCTCAAATAAAATAAAACAAATACTAAAAAAGACAGCTTTGAGTGAACACCTACAACGTCGTCTTCGTCCCACACAGGTCAATTCCTATTTCTAATGTTTCTGTTTACTTTAATTTCGTTAATTAGGGGTTTAATCATCAAAAGGGTTTCTTAATTATGTTTTAATTTTAGATTTTCATCTGTTTGTCCTTCGATCGCTTTATCTCAATTTGGGGGTTTGTTTTTACTTATTTTTAATCTTCATGAGGTTAATTCTACTTTGAAATTGCTAAATTGGGGTTTTTGATATATTTAATTTGGAGCTAGTAAAGGAGGAAAATGCTAAATTGGGGTTCTTGTTAATTCTTGGATTCTGTTAATTAAGGTTTAATTACTTTTATTTGATCTAATTGTTGAATAGTTGAATTGTAACAATGCGATCTAGGAGAATGTATATGGAATTAGGGCTTATTTGGGTGTTGAGAGTAAATGATGTTATTTGTTTATGTTCTTTGCTGGAATTCACGAAAGTGTGGTTATTTTGATTGTTTAGGAAGTTCAATTGAAAATGGTGACCAACCACCATTATACTCGAGTCGATACGTTGGAGCTGAGGGATCTAATCTATAGGAAGATTGGGCAACACAGAGCTGAAAAGTACTTTGATGAGCTTAGTAGATTTTTCAGTTCAAAGTTGAGCAAGGTTGACTTCGATAAGTCGTGCATTCGAACTATTGGGAGAGAGAATATTCACCTACATAATCGTCTCCTTCTATCCATAGTGAAAAATGCCTCTTTGGGTAAGGTTCCACCACCAAGGCCTAAAAAAGCTGAAGAATCTCTCAGCATCAAAGTTGGGAACGGTTACCAAAGAAGTTGTCTACAATCGCTCTATGGTGATGCATTTCCCTCATCACCTCGCAAAACCAGGTCTCCAGTTAGTAGGGACAGAAGGTTGCGGGACCGTCCAAGTCCTCTTGGACCACTTGGGAAAAGTCCTGTTATGTGTGAAGAAGCAGCACCTAGGGTACAAGAACAGCAAAGTGCCACAGAATTGCATTCCCTTGGTAGCAGACCTCCAGTTGAAGTTGCATCTGTAGAAGATGGGGAAGAAGTCGAACAATTTGTTGGAAGTCCAGGAATTCAAAGCAGAAGCCTTGTCACTGCCCCTCTTGGAATTTCTGTGAATGTAGGTGGTGCTCGAAAAACTCTCCATAGTGGATCTGTGTACAACTTTCGTCTGGAGACTTGCCAAAGCTGTAGAGAATTGCCTGAGAGTAGATCGCTAAGAAGCCGTTTGGAGCAGAAGTTAGAGTCGGAGGGGCTTGGCATATCATTGGACTGTGCTAACCTGCTAAATAATAGCTTAGATGCATTTTTGAAAAGGTTGATTGAACCTTGCATAGGACTGGCTGGATCTCGACATACAAATGAACGTGTCAGATATAGTAATGGTCAAATACTCCCTGGATGGTATGGACAATTTCCTGGAAATTATACAAAAAGACAAACAAGATCCTCATATGGTAGGATGTTGGATTTCCGAGTGGCAGTGGAGACTAATCCTCATATACTTGGGGGAGATTGGTCCACGCTACTTGAGAAGGTCTGTGCTTCTGCTTCTGAATAAACAGCTCTTTGTCATCTATCTTGTTACCAGATGGATAAGTGGAAATTTCAGGCTTTTGTGTCTGATTTGAATGATGAAGTTCTTGACATGATTTCTGACTGAATGAAGTATCTATGAGAATTGCCAAAGGAACAAGCATGTGAATATTGTGGGAAGCGGTCAGATGTGTGTTGTGAGATTTGTATTCTAGGAGAATTGGTCCCTTGGAAGGGTCAGAGTTACATAGATTATGGATAGATATTGTTTACAAGCACTTGCTCTTATGTCATTTTTCATTTACAGATGAGGTTTCTATGAAATATTTTCATGAAATAAATCATTTAGTTCCATGCAGCTGTGTACTATTGTAAAACTGAGAAGTTAGCAAGTGAATCAATTTCTAACCATTACTGAGTGTTTTCAGCTCCCAAAAATTTCCAATTTCCAATTTCCTGTCTCTTCAATGATCCACTTTTGCAACATAGAGGCAACCATTATATTTCCTATGTCAAGTGAAATGGACATTTTTATTTTTTCTTCCTGGGTTGAAGTGTCAAGTGCATTCCTCCTCTAGAGACGAATATAGGGAGATATGCACTTCCTGGTAGCTTCAAGCTTCAGGTGACATATGCTTTCATTATTGGCTGCAAAATGTGACATCCTGGTTCAAAGATTGGTTGCTTTTGTCAGTCTTCTGTCTCTAGCATATCTTACATTTTTATTTTTTTTTGGTTGTTTCCTTGTTAGTGCACTTCTATGTGTTGGTGGGGCTTTTTCTCTTTGCTTTTAATCCTTCCTTTCCAGTCTATCCAAATGATAATGTACTTTAAATGTTTGAGGTTGAGGCTGCCCAAATTTATTGAGGTTGGTCTGATGTAATGTGATGCCTAATGGGTGGTTTCAGTCCTTCAAGTTATGTATATGCTTCCAACATTGGCTGCAAAAGGTTACATCATGGACCGAAGGTTGGTTGCTTTTAGCGTCTTCGGTCTCTAGCATTTTAAACATTGTTACTCTTCCTTTGTTTCTTCCTTGTTAGTGCAATTCTGCGTGTTGGCGGGTTTTGTCTGATCACTTCGTCATCCTTTCTTTCTAGTCTATCCAAATGACAATGCTCTTTAAAAGTTTGAGGTCGAGGTATGCATTTCTTGCCCTTAAATTGCTGAGTTTGAACTGACTTTATCAAATGAGATGCCTGATTGGTAGCTTCAATCCTTCAAATGATATACAATTCCAGTACTTGCACCAAAAGGTAACATCACAGTTCAGCAGTTGGTTGCTTCTGGCACTCTTCTGTCTCTAGTATTATCATACATTGTTATTCTTCCTTGTTTCTGGCCCTGTTTGTAAACTTCTGCATGTTGGATGAGCTTATTTCTCTTTGCCATGGTTTTTGTCTAGTTCATCCAAATGAGAAAACCCTTTAAATGTTTGAGGTTGAGGCATACTCTTCTTGTCATTAAATTATTGAGGCTGATCTGAAGTTTGTCCAATCCCAACCCTGATTGGCACCTTCAAGCCCTCAGTTGATATATGCTTCCAGCTTTGGCTGCAAAAGGTAACATCTCTGTTCAAAAGTTAGTTGCCGTTAGCAGTCTTCACTCTCTAGCATACTGTGCATTGTTACACTTGGTTATTTGCTTGTTAGTGCAGGTAAAGGCTTTTTCTGTATGTTAATGATGCTCTTTTCTCTGACATGCGCTTGCCATTCCTTCTCTATCCAATATGCAGTTTGCATTCTAATTTTTTCTCAATCTTTAAAAATATATATTCTTGAAATATGGAGATTTCATTGTCTCAGCTATTTCTCCTTACCAAGTAACACATGAGATAGGGCAAAGAACATTTGAATCATTTGGATTGATTTTTGTTACTGATTCATTTGAATTTTAATTAACCAACATGTTTCATACACAATATTTGTATATAGTACATTTTGTTATACAATGTTTGAAAGGGACCAAAATAAAATATATTACTATTTTTCAGTGATTATTTGGGGAAGCCGAATATTGTGAAACTTTGCATCATTGAAGCGATTGACATTTAATTACTTGCCAGTAAAGAAGCAGAACACAGCAACAAGGTTGGATAGAATGAAGATATGCATAGAGGTCTGTTTGTGTTTAATTTAGTTACTTGATTTTCAGTACATATATAGTAAGCTTTATAACCAGAATCAGTGTGTGGTTAATATTTTTTTAGAAAGATCATTTTTAGCAAATGCTATCATTTTGGTGGTACTGAATAATTTTCAATGATCTAATATTTTACTTTTCTAAATAAGCAGAATCAAGAACGGTGTTGCCCTTGACATCATCCTACAGTATAGTGTCCTTAATTGTTCTTTTTCAGTGTTGTTAATTTTGAACCATTTCTCTTTTTAGTTGTCATGATTCATGCCTGCTTTCTTTCTGTATTTTATCTTTTAAAGCTACTTTGTTATGTATTACTTGAGCCGAGGGTCTTTAGGAAATAGCCTCTCTACCTCCACGAGGTAGGGGTAGCGTTTGCGTACATTCTACCCTCCCCAAACCCGACCTTGTGGGATTACACTGGGTATGTTGTTGTTAAATTTGCACCATTCTTATTTATTATTATCTTTTTGTTTCTCAAATATTTACATATAGTATTTGCCTATGTTTTTGACCATAGTATGTAGCACTTCTCTACACTAACATGCTCTCAATGTTAAATTGTACACAAGTTCGAACAGCCTTGCTGTAGCTTCAGAATTCTGCACGTGAACTTTACAATGTAAGCACATTTAATATCAGACATGCTTCTCCAATTCTGTCTCTTAATAGTTCCACATATGAAGATGAATTTCATCGTCTATGTTTTGAGCATCGTCTAATAGCTCATCTTATGTGTGTGTAGGACTAGAGAGGTAAAACTAACAAGGAGGATCACTATGTATAAGCAGTGAGCGTGGAGGCTCGGCTGAAAATGTAGTGATATGGCTCAGTTGAATCTGAAGAGAAGAGGTTTTACCTCATGCAATGCAACAGATATTAACCTTTGTCCCAGCAACTCGGGGAACATCAACCATCTCTGTTTGCATTGCCCAATGCACATACCAACTGAACTGACTGATATGATAATATTCCCGAAGGCCAAACTATACAACTATGTGGATGCAACTGTATGCATGAACTGTACTGATTGGGGTCACAGAATGATTTAAGGTGTTTGTAACCCCATTTGTATATAATTGATGTAAATTGAACGTCGTAACAGCATTGCTTAGCTTGTATCATTGTTTTCCTTGAGCTACAGGCTTTAGCAACTCAATTATTGCAATAGATGTCTTTGTTTCTTTTATTTCAAATGAATACTGGGAGAACTCTGATCATCGTGAGGGATGATATTACATAACTTGGTTTGTTATTATCAACGGCTCATTAATGCTTACTACGAGTTGCATAAGTCAAGTAGTTCAGCTGATAAGCTGAAACAATAGTAGAGAAAGAAGAAGATGGTAGTAAAGCATTAATAAAATTCTCAGATGAATATACCAAAAAGAATCTTTTGATTCATGAGACAAATTGATGGATCTCGAATAAATACATGTTACAAATTATTATAACAAAAGAACAAACAGCAAGCAAAGTCGATCATGTTGGAAAGCATACAAACAAATTTTGGCAGAGGAAATAGAAATGCTCCAAATAGGAGGATGAAAATGAGTTAAAAAGTCAGAGAAATGGTGGAAAAATATTGAATTGAAGGATTTGAATATTAGTTGTAGGTTGGTGTGGGAGATGGTGATGGAGGTGGAGGTGAAGCATAGGTAGTTGATGGCTCGTACTTCGTAGGTGGTGGAGGTGAGGCATAGGTGGGTGTATGTTCTTCGTAGTTCGTTGGTGGTGGAGGTGAAGCATAGGTGGTTGATGGCTCGTACTTCGTAGGTGGTGGAGGTGAGTAGTATGATGATTGTTGTTCATAGGTCTTTGGTGGAGGTGGTGGAGATTCATAGTAGGGTGGAGGTGGAGACTTATAATTAGTTGGTGATTCCTCGTAATATTTTGGTGGTGGAGGTGGAGGTGGAGGTGATTTGTAGTATGAAGGTGATTTTTCATAATAAGCTGGTGGTGGTGGAGATTTGTAGTAAATTGGTGACTTGTAATATTTCGTTGGTGATGGTGAGTTGTAGTATTTAGGAGTTGGGGACTTGTAGTAGTGCTTTGAAGGAGTTGGGGACTTGTAATAGTACTTTACCGGCGTTGGTGACTTGTAGTAATGCTTTGAAGGAGTTGGTGACTTGTAGTACTTTACTGGCGATGGCGACTTGTAGTACTTTGAAGGAGTTGGCGACTTGTAGTACTTTGAAGGAGTTGGCGACTTGTAGTACTTTGAAGGAGTTGGGGACTTGTAGTACTTTGAAGGAGTTGGGGACTTGTAGTAGTGCTTAACCGGCGTTGGGGACTTGTAGTAGTGCTTAACCAGCGATGGTGACTTGTAGTAGTACTTTACTGGCGATGGCGACTTGTAGTGATACTTCGAAGGAGTATGTGACTTATAATACTTCTTTGCAATTGGCGACTTGTAGTAATGCTTTGAAGGAGTAGGTGATTTGTAATATTTTACTGGCGATGGAGACTTGTAGTAGTTGTGCTTTGAAGGTACAGGTGCTTTGTAGTATTTGTGTGATGGTGAATGTTCAACAGGTTTCTTGTAGTAAGGAGTAGGCACATGATACTTAGATGGTGATTTGTAGTACTTGTTAGAGCTGTAAGAAGGTGAGGGAGAAGTATAACCATAGGAGTAATCAGCAAAAACAGTGCTGGCTGCTAGGCAAATTGCCAAAGCAGCTGCAAGTAGGGGCAATTGCCCCAGCTTCCCTAAGCTTCTCATTTTGATATGCAAACCAAAGCTATACTTAGAGAAGAGGTAGAGAGAACTAGAAACTTGTCTTGCATATTTGAGAAGGAGCTCTGGTTTTTATACAGCATTGTGACATCGTTCTTGTTGACATTTGATGTAATGGGTTCATGGTTACCCACTAATATGAGAGCAAAGTCCAAATAAAGACTCGGTCAGCACAGAGTGGGAGGCATCCTCTTGGTAACATAAAATAAATACAATTTTTAAAAAAAATATAAAAACATAAGTACAAAGAGGAATATCACAAAGTAGTTAAAGATTTGACAATTTTTAAACAATAAACAGAAGAGAGAATGAAAACTTTACTCACTTTAACGTTAAGAATAAAGCGAGTTTAATGAGTTGAGAATGAGAATACAAATGCAAAATCTTCAAAATTAGAACTATGCCTGCTCTATATTGTCGGATATCGGTCTTTTATGAAAGCTGAAAATGTAATGCGCGATTTCTGTAACTAGAACTAGGATATACAAAAAGAACCATGATGGTCCGAGCAACTCTTAAGTAACACGTTCAACGGTCTCTGTGCTTCTACTGAAGTTCTGCTCCACCACACTAACATGTTACCGCAATGAAAATGACTCCAAAGTCATGCCTCCATCCAGATTGTTTGCAAGAAGAATATATGAATTGTTAGCAGAGAAGACATCATACATGCTTGGTATAGAATCACGCCATTGAGACTTTTTGTTGGCTTGCCACGTAAGTCAGGTATACATTCCATACGTATGAAAATGTATTGCTCACAAGCGGCTGTCAATGTAGTAATAAACATCTAGTTAGTCACTTTCTCAAATATATGTGTATATATTGGGAGTTGAGGGATCTGAACCTTAGTTTTGCCTTTGGCAAAGACTGAGGCTACAGGGCCCAGAGGCAGATGGAATGGAATGTATAATCAATTGGTTCAACTGAACCAACATTTTTTTACTCTGACCATATATGTATATTTGAAAAATTACTAAAATAGGAGCAACAAATATTAAAATTTGAATGCACAATGGCAGAAGAGCACTGGGTTCAGTGACGATAACACAAAGTTTGAACCCATCAAATTTTAAATCCTGGATTAGTCTTTGAGGAGCAGAAAAAGACATCCTAAATTGTGTAAAGTAACCTTAGAAGTCGATGAGACCTTGAGCATACCTGTAAATGAACAGGAACAAACTTGAATGTAATGAAATCACATATTGGCCAGTACATAAGACCACTGACAATGGTGGGAACCAAGTCGCGCTTGAGTCGGGCAACAATCTCTGAACTACTTTCACCTAAGGTAGCAACCAATACAAGGATTAGTGATACAAGCATCCAAAGTTAATGCCTATTGTAATTCAGAAAATAAAATTCTCAAGAGTTTGAATAGATCTTAAAAACTGTTGCAAGTTCATTCCATATAATAAAGAAGTTCGCAACACAATCAAATTCAAACTCAGCAAGCATGGTAGAAAGCTACTAAGGACTAATAAAAAACAAAAGAATAAAAAGGGGAAAGGAGCTTAATGCACTTCCTAATGCAGCTTGCAAATGAACTGACTGAGATTCTTATTTTGTGTCCAATTTTATCAACTAGATGTTCCTTTTCTAATCTTAAATTTCTTTTTCTAGTTTTTGTTGAAAATGGGGAAAAAAGTGATACAGGATTTAAGCACTATCCCTCAAACCCGAGGTTTTGAGTCAGTTTCCACCTTCACCCCTTTCTCCCTCTCATGTCACACCCTATGCCCTCCTCTCAGGGACACATGCACAAAAAGAACAGGTTCTATCTCGAAGATGATAATTACCCGAGGTCTAGATTCCTCCAGAAATATTTTACTTTGTTAACGACAGTAAGAGTACAGCCTATCAGTAAATTTAACAAGAGCAACACAGAACTTCTAAAACAGGACTCAGCTTTACCTTGTGCTACAGCATTCATGGAGAAGAAAACAGAGTTAATTGCAGGACCATAAAGTGTTTGTCCCAAAGCTATTTTTTTAAATGTTGTTATGACATCACGCTTTGGAAAGCACGTTGACAGGAAATTGAACCAGAAATGTAGTGAAGGTCCAACAATTAGCGCTCCATAACCAGCCATCCGCAATGTTCGTGTGAGATCATACTGCTCCAACAATGACCCAGCAATTGTCTGCAGAGCAGAGAGTGCAAAGAAAAGGGGGAAAAATATTAGAAACAGGCCATAATTTATTCCGTAGGTGAACCAGAATAAATAGCTACATTAAAAGAGGGAATGATAAATAAGATGGGAGAAACGCAAATTACATAATTATATGTTGAGCAAAATGTAAGAGAACTAACAGACTTTGGCATTCTAAAGTGTTATTGAACAAGATTTACAGGTATTATTTCTACACCATACGGTAGAAAGGAACTTCACAAGACTAGAAATTTCAAGTCAGTCAATGCTATGAGTAATAGAACATTAAAGCATCTTGAACAACTACTAACTACGAACCAATCAGAAAGGACGTTTAAGATCAGAATAGAAACAAAGATAGTTAATCACTTAATCCTACTTGAAGAGGACGATTTTAACTTGAGCTTTGTTATTATCAAACCATCATTAATTAAAATAAGATTACATTAACCCTCGATCTTCATCTTATATTGATCGTTTTCCTTAAGTTTGCTCTTCTATATTTAAGTTCTCTCCACAGCATCTTACTTTTCTTTTAGTATTAGAACTATTCAAACAAATCTCAACTTGCAATTTTTCAAATAACAAAGAAGCAATATCATTCTTTGTCAATTTGCACTAGTTTCTAAGAATTAACAATCCTTTTCACTTCATTATTATTTGGTGGAATCCAGTCTAGTGTAGTCTAAGGCTACATCAATCATCCAAGTCTTTAGATGCAAACAATTTGAATTACCAATAATGGTCATGATGTGAAAGAAATTGGTGCAAATCCCAACTGTCATTCAGTTTTCAGCCCAGAAAGTACTCATGGAAAGAAGGACCAGAGTCAGATATGGCAACTATGTGAAGATAATTGTGGAACTTGTGGGTTAAATGACTGAATGTGGTTGAATTGGTACATGATTATCTGTTAAAAGACAGGGGATTATAGGCAGATCCCATACCCTACTATTGCAAATGAACTTGGATGAAGTTCTAGCTTGCTTGAAAGTATGTGAAGATGAAAATAAGGAATGACGTGTTATGAAGTACTTCTCTAGATATAAAGCTAAGAAGGTTGCGTTACGTGGATAATGATTGGTCAGTGGAAATAACCAGGTTAAGTGTTATGAAAGAAGGGGAACTCACAGTCAAATCAATCCAATAAATGTGTTCTAAGGCACCTCTTTCTAATAATAATCTTCGTACTTGGCCAGGCAACTCCTAAAGAGTCTTGGCCGTGGCCCACAGGTCAAGATGGGGTGTGATTTCATTCTCGTAACTAGATGAGCACACTGCAAGACCAGACAAGTTGCTCCCTCGCCAGACAGCATATGTTATTTAAGTCAAGTCATTTCCTAAGACAGCTCCTGTTACTCTTCAACAATCCATGTTACAGTGGCACCTCACGAACTTATTCAACAAATCATATTCTTATAGATGCCTTCATCACTTGGATCCACTGTGGAGGCAGGCACAAATTAAAGGACAAACAGGAGGAATAGTGTTCAGTGTGTAGTTTGAAACTCTGGATGAAGATGATTCATAAGCCAGCCTAACTTTGAATTTTACATGCGCTAAGTTGAGTGGATTTAGGGGAGACTATAACAGATGTTGGGAAGGTACAGAACCTAAAAGGATACTTACTAGGAAATAAATGTCAAGTTTGTTCTGAACTTTATAGGTGGAAGATTTTATAAAGAAATGGATAGGCTGATATATCAAACTACTCTCCTGAATCAAAGAAGTGCATTAACATTTGAAAAGCAGAAGAGACATTTAAGAGTAGTAGGGAAAAGTTATTACTCATAGGTTGGGTTTAAGGTCACTTATTCCAAACCTAATAATAAGAGCAAATCATGGGGAACTTGGTGTTGTCTAGCTTTTGTTATTTTGTTGTAGTTACATATCTTTTTTCAGGTCTACGAACACTCCACCCTCCCCATACCCCCACTTGTGGGATTACAGGGTGTATGTTGTTAACAATGGTATGCCCTATTTCAGCTCTATGTTTAATCAGGGCGGGGCGAAAAAGTATCCCGAGGAGGAAAGAACATTTGTCTTGTTTGATTAAGAAGTTTAAAATCAAAGAATACAACAACTACTTCATAATCTCTACAAGTGAAACCATTAAACTTTGCTTTTTTCAGCCCAAATTAAAGAACAGGGTGCATTACTCTATACTCTTCAAACCACAGAAGGCAATATACAGCACGCATGATTATGTAACCTAACAATCAACTAAGTAACTTTCAAGAATCTGAAGAAAAGTACCTGTGAGGAAAAATCAGCGGCAGTAAGAATAAGGCCACAAGTGATGCTCTTGGTGATAATGGGTCGAGAGTTGAGTTTCTCTAAGTACCAACCCACTAACCCAAATTTTGAAGCAGAAGACGAAACCCCTGAAAAGAAAGCAAGAAAACTGGGATTTGACAACTCAAATTCCTTAGTTTTCCTGTAAAAAGAATGAGGTAATCGTGAATAAACTTTAGAATGTTGAAGTTGGTTCTTGATATTCCAAGATTCAATGGAGGGTCTTCTTCTACATAGATGGTGCAATGAATGGTGGGCTTTAGAACCATTTCTGAGGAAAAAAGCACACATCTTTTGTATCTGTAGAGAAACCCCAGGTGTATATTGATGGCAGAAGAGGAGTTAATATGGAAAAGGGTCTCTCCTCCTTGTTGTCAGTAGGGGAAGAGAAGTTAGTTTCCGAGTTTGTGCTTCAGGCCTTCAAAGATGGCCGCCAATAAAAAGGAGCAAAGTGTAGAAGACAAAAATAAGGTCATGGTTTACCAAGCACTTCCCTAAGTTTCATCCACGTGTATAGCTCTTTTTTTTCCTACGATAATATTTATATGATCTCGTTTTTAAGAAATAGTAATTAATTTAATTAAAT